AATGTTTTTTTAAATTCAATCTTTGAAAATGCACCTTGAGCCACATTTCACTCATTTTCAATTTTCGTTTTGCCGTTTTCAAAGGTAGTGTGGTGCCTTTTTGGTTTTTATGGTAATGAAAATTTCCATATTCATGAGCGAAAGTGTGATGTCATTTAAGGCAGAAACCTCAATGTTACATCGTGTCAGTACATGGCAGTATAGCCCATGACTTTTCTCACAGATGTTTTTAATGAGAAAATGTTTGGGTTCACATGTTGGACAGGAAACCCCTAAACTGAACAGTGTCTAACTGAAATGACATCACAGCAACAGCGCCCTCAGTTGTCTGGAAAAATGAACCAAAACAAGGATGTCAAACTTTTTACATACATTTAAGTAGGAAGTTGCAAAAACTGTGTTCCTAAGAAACAAGCTCAATCGGGTCTCGGAACCTAGTGCGGGCCAACGAATGCGTTTTCATGCACGAGTCACGTGATTGTGCCATGTCATTTCTGGAAGTAGTGTTTTGAGTAAAAAAAAATAGGTTTTTGACCCCAGTGACCCCATGATGACCTTTGACCCCAATTTGGTCATGTGACATGTTGGGGCTGGGCTACTGATACTTTTGACAAAATTTGGTTGAAATCGGTCAAATATGTAGGAGCAATAGACCATGTCAACGTTTGTTACTGACTAACGGACTAACAGAGAGACTTGATGATTTGTTGAGCTGCTATCCCGCAGCTAACAAACATCTCATGGACCCTCTCAACTAAATGGTATGGGTACTGCTGCAACATAATGTCAGGCAAACAAATTAAAGCAACTTATGTGCAACGCTTTCACGACAGGAACTGTCCCGAAGTTGCTTTGAATCAGTTCCCAACTGATATAGCGTTAAAAGTTGGCAAAATAAAGCATCGATTTTCCAAACGGGGAGGAATTTTATCACATTTGAAGGCACTAATTATCATGCAGAGAAGTAGAAAAATCAACGTTTGGCATTTCGGCACAGTGAACTTTCTATTTACTTTTTAAAATGTTGCGTATATATCCCTCACAAGCCATCAGCTACACATACCTGTTTAGTTTTAATATAGGAATGTGGAAAAAGCGCACGATAATATATGGGCTCCGTGTGACCACGAAAGAGGGTGCCCTTTTTACCTAGCAACGACGTCCCATGGGTGGGACATTTCGCTGGTTGACGCGCCCCGTTCCTTGTGTGTGACGCACGTACACCAGAGGATTTGTACTACTGTATGTACACGCAGTGGTTGCGCATCGCGGCAAATGAATTGCAGTCGGGCAAGATGGCGTCGGTCGGTCACCCCCAGCTGTACTTTCTTTGCCGGTGAGGGGGTACTTGTGAACGGAGCGGATACTTAATTTTTTTTTAAAATGAGCCTTCTTCGCCCCCCCCCCCCCCCCCCCCCCCCTCTAAAATACTGGTTCTGGATCCGCCCTTGCAGGGTAGCTACTTTTACTTCCACGCGCAATGGATCGCTGACCAATGACAGAAGTGCATTTGGCTTATGAATATGTATGAGGTGTCGTACAAACAATGATTTCTTTTAACTTCCTGATGTAAAACCCTTTGCCAGAATGTCATTTGCTCTGTGCCAATTAAAATATACACGACAATCTGCACGGCATTATTTCAAATCTAGTCTACCGATAGATAAATTCTGTTCACTACATAGTACCATACTTGAATATATACTACATAGTTAATTATATCTCTCAAAATATCAATCACCTTGAAAAAAATTAAATATATATTTTGATTGATGCATAGAAAAATATTTACAAAATCACAAGCGATTAGTGTGACATAAGATTGCTATTAAATTTTTTCGTCACAATTAATTATTGTAGCAAAAAAAAACGGAATAAAATTAACTGGTTAAAAGTAAACAACAGTTTACTGAATATCATAATCCGGTTAGTTTTAATAGTACAAGTAACAAAAGTTGCGCAGTAGATACAATATATAGTTAGTGAGCTGAGTTTTATCATCATTCCACATCTTCTGTTTGCTGCACCTTTTTTTTTTTCTTCTCACTTCTATGTCAACTACACAGAATTCACTCTAACATACCATTAGGCCCCCAAAAAGTCTCCAGTTTTCTGGAATGGAGCTTGCCCAAAAAGTGGTGCGGCGACGCGGCTTTTGTTTTTTATTAACGTTTTTTTTTTGCTTCAAATGTCGGCTGATGACTGCAAATGGTGCCCGACTATATTTAGTGCAAATACATGGCAGTCCAGAGAGGCCACATAAATCTTATTCTCGATCATAACCCCATCTAAAAACACGTTATAATTGTGCAGCAGCAGGATTCCAGTCAAACCAGTGAGTTTGGCGGTTTTGAGACATCATCTTTCATTGAGAAAAAAACTTTTTCATTTTGCCGACGTGCATGGCTACGGCTACGCGCACGCATACCAGAAACCGGAGACTTGTTTGGGGGGGGCCTTACTCTAGTTCTATTACACATTCTATCTTGGTATGTACAATGCGTTTGTTCAAGATGAAATCGCTTCATTGAAAGCATCACTTCATGACGAAAAAGCACATGTAAAGTTCTCAAAAGATATCTCTACAGCAAAGTTATGTACATAAACCTTTTGATTTAAACTACAAAATTATACGAGACACATCAAAATTCCGGTCAATACAAACTCAACACCCTCGGTATTTTGCTATCAATATTTTTCCCATTAAAATAAAACCACACTAAAACCTAAATAATTTCAACATCATCACACAAAAAGGACAAGCTTTTCAAATCTTAAGATATCATACAATGAACCTCTGTAAACGACCACTCCAGTATTAACGACATGATATATATTTGTTTGTCATCTTTCACTCAGCTATAATAAAGGTAATATACAACATTTGCTTTTGCTGTAATTTTTAGAAATGGAAGAACTTGGGGGTTTGTATTTTACAGCAAATGTTGTTACACTGACCTGTTTAAAGTTTTGCGTTCAAAGATGCTGGAAAAACCAGCTGTTCTTGTAGTCTGGTTCCTTGACCCTACTTCAGATGAAACAGAGTTTATAGACTTCTGGGAATTGTCAGGTCAGGGAACCAGACTAGCTGGCTTGCACCTGTTCACGGATGTGTAACCGACTGCAATCAAATTGTGGACTAACTAAATTTGGTAAATTGGGGGCAGTATTTGAAAAAAAAGTCAGTTTTGTTTCCAACGATGGTCAACCGACCATCATTGGAAATTGGTACACAAATTCCACTTTTCTTAAAAATGACAGCACAAAAGGCTCCATGATTCACGGGGTGCTTTATACTATCACTTACTGTCAAGTAGGGTATTTCATAATAATTTGGTTGTTTGGTTTTTTTATGTTTGCAAATATTGTATAATACCTTTAAAGATATGAACTGCAATATTGGAGTTTGCCTTTCACCAACGTAATGCTTAAAATCACAGCACTGTCTGCTCGGTGGACCTAAAACCCATAGCCTGCTGCTTACCGGCTGAAAGACAAAACTTGGTGATAAAAAACTTATTAATATATTTTACAATCGGAAGGACAGTTGAATTTTGACGTCACCAACATTCATTATCTTCACTGAAAAAAAAAAACCTTCCATATCAGAGTATATATTAACAAGAACTTCAATTATGGAGTAAAAAAAAGAAAAAGAAAAACAACAAACGTCCCCCCCCCAAAAAAAAATCAAATTTGCAGGTATACACACATATTTTGGTGGACTAAGTCACAAAACTTCACGTCGCCTAGTACCTCAGTGGCGGTAAAGATGTACAAAAGTCTCTATGTGTTACAGAGTATCTACAGTCATATTATAATGATGTAAAAAATGTAATGAAAAATTACAAATTAAAGAATAGTACTGAAATTAATGAGTGACAGCATGTAGGAGGCCAATTTTGGCATGCAGCACATTTGGATGCTCAACAGATAATTTGGTGTGCAGACCGGGGCCCAATTTCAAGGCACTGCTAAGCACAAAAATTTGCTTAGCACAAAAAAAGTCTGGCTTATAAAATCAGTTTACCAGCAAAAACTCCATGTGATTTTCATGCTAAAAACAACAGCTGAATACTAATCACGAGCAATATATACATCACGTGGAGTTTTGGCTAGTAAGCTGCTTTTAAAAGCCAGACTTTTTTGTGCTAAGCAAATTTGTGTGCTTAGCAGCGCCGTGAAATTGGCCCCAGGTCACGTTTACAAAGTTGTGGTCGCGTGACGATGCCATACACATGAAAAAAAGCAGGCGAATCTAAACTTCAATCCCTCAAAATGTGGGTGGGATTAAAACGTGGACATAACAGTATACAATAACTTGAAGAAAAAAAATCATTGAAAGTCACTGGAGTAATTGTTTTGCCTGTGGCCGACCCGTGGCATGGTCTATGCATCTTGTCTTCTACTTTCAAGATATTTACTTTCCACCATGTATAAAACCACCAAAATAAAACAGGATGAAAAATTGTAAGTTAGTTTTTCGATTTTTCGTGATCATGTGGTTTTCCCGTGATCGACCACCATTGCAGTAGGCAAGCGTTTGGTGAGCAACTACGTTGTGCATTGTAAACTAGACAGTAGGGCGTATTTTCTAATAAATTAACCACAAATTCTTTATCAAATGGCATAATGATCACTACGGTTGTCATAATTGTGCAACCCAGCAATGGGTGTTGGCTCCACGCACCGTTGTTGCCTTCCATCACAGCTTAGAAGGCTTGCCTACTACCTACTGCGCGTGGCGCACTATGCGATCTTTGCCTACCTAAATGGCAACGCTTGCTTTCCGGAACCCGGATGTAGGCCAGGTCACGTTGGTCAGTGAGAGAGCTCTATTGGAGTCCACAATGCTACACACTATTTTTTTAGAATCTTTGGTGAAGACAGCAAGTAGAGTATTTACAAAAGAAAAAAGTACTGCAGGCACCATTCAAAGGCATGGGACCACTGACTAAATGCTTCCCAAGTGTAAGCACAGACGTTCTGCGAGTTATATATTGTAAATTCAGCTGTGCTGTAAATGCCATTATCAAGGCACATTAGTGCAAGAGGTGTTTAAATGAAAGGCACTCACAATGTTAAGACATCCCCCCCCAAAAAAAAATACACAGAAAAATAAGTTTATCAAAATGCAATGAATGCTCATACACAAAAATAGAATCATCCATTTAACTGTTTACACCATGGAGAAATTCTAGCAGGGAAGAGACTGATCAATTCATGGCTAAAAAATAACAGAAATTTGTTTAAGATTGTTCAAGAAATTTACAAAAAATTACAAGTCGCTCAAGGAACTTATCTGAAGAAGAAAAAAGATCTCCATGGAAATATTAACCGACATTCCAATGCCTATAAAATCCAAATGCCCAGAGAGACAGGTCAGAGGTTAAAACCTGTATACAACTTCAGCAGAATAAGCCTCTGTACTGATGACGTCACACTTTGTTTACTTGTGCGTTTTTCTACGGGGCTACAAACCATCGTCCCCATCAGGCTCCCATAGAAAAACACATGTGTAAACAATGTGTGAAACGTCATCATTGCAGAGGCTAATTAATGAATCAATTCGTAATGTTTCGCATCTGTTAACTCCTTCAGCAGAAACGCTAACTCAAATTTTGAATATTTCTGATGTGCGAATTCAACCTCATCTACCTTTTTGTCTGTTCCAAGAATTTGTTTGTTCTAAAAACAGCTCTGTTCTGTGCACATTTCTTTCCGACATCTTGACAACAAATGCCCTTAGGAAGCTTTCAAATTGAAACTTTGTTTGAAAAAAAAAGAAAAAAAGAAAAATAAATATCCAAGATATTATCTAAAGACGATTTTGTCCAAAGGTTTGCACTTGAAAAAAACATGGTTCCACAGATAGCTGCTTTCGTGCAATTCAGCCATCTCAGAGGTGCGTGCGTTTGTTCCACAGGGATACGCATGAACAGCAACTCTTGTGCATTCATTGTTACGGAATTAAGATAACACAAAACCCCAAAGATGGCCGCCGACAGCAAAGTGTCTATCCAATGTACGGATACAATCTACAGTCTAAGTTAAGTTCCACCTATCTGGAGTCGTTAAGAAACAGGAGGATGTACAGCACCAGGACGTGAGGTCGACCCACAGTTTGTCTCAACACCAGACGAGCTCTTGCAGCTCTTCTTCCGTCAGTGGCGGGGAGCATGGCATCCCTGCCTCCTTGGCCCTGACCAAATCTCCCACTTCGCTCATTATCTCCAATGCCTGCATTTCACATAAAAAAACATACAACACGTAGGTGCAATTTGTAACACCAAGGGATTACATCAGAGAATTTTTTTGGATGAGTGCGTTTCATTACTTCCCCCAGCTTACTCGCGCCTGGCTCCTCGGACGATGACAGACATGCGCAGTGGAGATAAATAAACGAACGGTTTTGGGTAAAGTTTCGTGCAAGCCGAGCCGGAAAGTTGAACTTTGACATGAAACAGGCTGCATCCGAATCAACTGTCTAGAGCTAGGTCTAGATCCACGCCCATTGAAAGTACGCGGGGACGCGCTGACAAAAGACGTATAGCCGTAGCTCTGGAAGCCCATTTCGGACATGGCCTGAGGTGCCCGCCGGACGTCACGTTGGCAGCCATGTTTATTGCATTGCCTTATGGGATACTTACCCAAGTAACCGGCTCGGCGAGTCGGTCACTTGGGCCAGGCTCGAGTAAGCGCGAGAAGTCACGTGAGAGGTAAATCGAACGCTGTCGCGATTGCACGAGTAAGCGCGGGAGAAATAATCGAACGCAATCGATTTTCTTTTCAGTCCACAATTTTAGCTCTGGCACGAGCTTCTACATGTCACTTTGTGGTCGGTCGTTCGGTCTGTCTGTCCTTGGAAAATTGACTAAAATAAGGCCCTGTAAGTTTCCCATAAAATTGAACTACCAAATTTTAATTTTCAAAAAAAGCAAGCACAATCAGTTGAATAGTTTTACAAAAATTGTTTGTAACAATTCGGAAAGATGTTTATGAAAAGTTTGTAAATGGAGGCAAAATATGTACAGTAATATTATAGTCACGTGGTATATAGCGTGCTATATGCCACGCGATAAAGCACGCTATATTTTATGGGAAACTTCGGGGGCTTTTTTGTCAATTCTCAGGGACAGACTAGCGCAGCGTGATTTTTGTGTGGGATGGCGGCCCAGGCTTGTACGCAATTTCCGGTCAACGTTACCGTCGGTTGCACGCTGAAATCATTTCTGCCAGTGTAAAATATGAATATCGGACTCCTTTTCGTTATTGGTTGATCCCTCGCATGTGACCATTCACTCTCCTAATTACCATACGTACGCATGCACAATACTACCAACGAGTCCATATCATGGAGTCGGATATTCACGCTTCACTGGCGTGGATGAAAGGAGCCCGGCGTCGCATTTTTGGGCATCGCATTTTTAAGCTCTGGCAGGGATCATTTTGATAGATTTCGTGCAAGACTTCATGTAAGACGGCCAGAGCTTATTGTGCACTTGCACTTGTTTTTCAAATTGTCAACATTAATTTGAAAAAAAATTGCCTACCAGTAATCGTTCTGTAATCCACAGCAAAACATGACAGTTTTATTCACTTGTTTATTTATTTATTTTTGATACCTGCAAGTTTGAATGTTGTCTGTCAAAACGTTAGTTATGCTTCTTAATGCACATTTGATGGTGCAGTACAGCTTGTAAACAATAGAGGGCAGCAGACCACATGTAAGGACAAGAAATCACTCGTAAGTGACAGAAGGGACAGACGATGTCACAGTTCATTTGAACAACTTGCGACTTAGACTAGAGACTGGATTACTTATGTCTGATTTGCGTCGACTCGTGGGGACTTGACTTAACAACACCAGAGGACCAATTCAAAATCTTAGATTTGAGATTCAGAGCAAGGCAACTCTTATTTACCTTGTCCAGCATTTCCTTGGTGTGCGCAGCTGAAAGACAGATCCTGATTCTGGCCTCCAACAGATTTGTGGCTGGGAATCCAACGGACACCGTGCTCAATCCCCTCTCTCGACACAGCCGAGAAAAAGCACTACGTGAAAAACGATGGAAAGTAAACAAGAGCAATTGATGGTCAATGAATTTCTACCGTACCTCTACCAACACGTTTTCACTTTAACGTGAATGAAATGTGGAGGAGTAAATTAACGGGTAGTATAGGAACGGGGTACCCGATTGAAAACAAACCACGAGTACCGTAAAAGAAACTCAACCCCATGCAAATGCAATCATCCACCACCAACAGGCTGTAAAGTCACATATGTCAATTTAGAGATAAGTACAAACTGTTTCCTTCCCCCACAGATATCTATAATCCTTGACGGAGAGAGGTAAACATAGTAAAGTGTCTTGCCCAAGAACACAAGGACCATGCACCCTGTCAGAGATTTGGAATCACATAAGCTAGACACTGCACCCAATAGACCATTGTCCTCTGAAACTTCCCCACCCCAACCCTAAACTATAATGATCTAAGCAGCCTCAAAAGGCGACAGACCCGTTCCTAACCGACAGAACTAAATAAAAATTCTATAAAGAATCTTACCCGACGCTTGTCGGCATGTACATCAAGACTGGTATGACCGGCGACTGATCGTGGCCGATAACGGTAAACCTCATTTCCCTGAGTCGTTGGCGCATGTACCTGGTGTTCCACGCAAGCTGTTTAATGCGATTTTGCCCTGGAGTTGACGATAAAATCATGGACAAATATCTTTAAAGTCCTGATGACTTTGTAATTCTTCAACACCGGTTTCAGACTGACACTGCCGAGTCAAGCCAATCTGAATCTGCTGAAGATTTGAATTAAGAACATGAAAAGTTATAAATACATGAAACAGTTGGCAATCAGTTATTCAAAATTGCAAGGTAATCATTCAATAACTAAACAGGGCCTATTTTTTCGGTCGACGTCTCATTCAAAAGTGAGCAACTTTTGTGTTGCTAGAAAAATAGCAATTTAGAAAAAGAATCTAATTTGTCGATATGAACTCAAAAATAGCACGAGGAACGCAATTTTTTTTTTTTTGGTTTGAGGTCTGTTCTCCATTACAAGATGTCCCAAATTTTGACTTCAGGTGCCAGAAATATTCTGACTAAAATCTGGGTTTATTCATGAAAAAGTATCACGATACACATTTCTGTACAGTGATACTGCATTGCAGCATTCTTAACTCGTGATCATTAATGCGGTTACTGCAGTCAGCCAAAGTTTTTTAAAAAAAGGCGTTCTGGCAAAATGAGAAAGAACTTGGCAGAGGTCGGAGTGAAGGTTTGCGGGTGTTAGGAAAGAGAATAAAATTCTCCTTACAATACTGGTTTTTGTTGCACTTCAATTGGACATTCCCTTGACAAGTTATGGCAGTTTAAAGTTTGCATTTATCAACCTTTCAAATAACTAAAATACTAGGAAAAACTGTTTTTTGTTGTGAAAATGAAAGATCGCCATTGGTTTTCCTTAAAAACACTTTTATTCCTCAATGTTTGTATAATTTCTTGGAAATATGTGTGGTAGACTATCAAAGATTACAATAAATCTGAAAATCCAAAAAAAAATCACACCCATTCAATTTTTTCTTTCTTTCATTTTTCTCCACTACGGCCTGTGCCCAGTTCCGTCTCATTTTGCCAGAACGTCCCACCAGTACCATTTTACAGGTAACACACAGGCAGCAATCAAACTGGGGAAGAAAAAAATCCAACCAGGCGGGCAGACCAAACACCAAGAAAACCAACCACCAACAAATTGGAAGCAGACAAGACCACTTGTACGTGTTCTAAATAACCCCCACACGCCGACACACAAAGGGAGAAGAACAGATCCTATCAGTCCTCGGGCGTTAGGTCTTTCGTTCAAAACAGTCCTCTGTAGTAGGTTCGTGTGCTTAGTCTATGGGAGAGTGTTATATTACAGGGACAACAGGAAACACAAAACATTGTCCTAGGGAGTATAGTAAAACAAGAGTGTGTGTTCCTGTCTTGTATTTCGCTCGAGGACAGACACACAAAGGGAGAACAAAAGATCCTTTCAGTCCTCGAACGACGGTGCTTTTGTTCGAAACTGTCCTCGATCGTACGTTTACGTGCTTAGTCTATGGGAGAGTGTTATATTACAGGGACAAAGGGAAACACAAAGCATTGTCCTCGGGACTAGAGTAAAACAAGAGTGTGTGTACTGACCTGTGTTTGTCCCATCTTCGCCCATGATGGCAGTCATGGTAGAGATCACCTGTTGGACGATGGGTGCAGGGCAGGAGGTACCGTAGGCTACACTATGGGAATGCCTTCGGATGTGATCAACCAGGGCCTGTCGAGTCAACACGTGCATAAAAACCAATGATCATTTGAACAAGACAAGCTCAAGTCTAGTCAAGCTGGTCGAAAATCCAACTCAATCCATTCAGCATGGCTATTCACTGGACTTTTTTTCATGCATCAGGGTTTTTTTTTAATGGAGATGCTAAGCACAAATATTTGCTTAGCACAAAAAAGTCTGGCTGAGTAAAAGCAGGTTACCAGCCATAACTCCACGTGATTTTCATGCTAAGCAAACAACAGCTGAATACCAAGCACAAGCAATATACATCACATGGAAATTTGGTTGGTAATCCTGTTTTTGCCGAGGCAGACTTTTCATGCTAAGCACATTTCTGTGCTTAGCAGCTCCACAGCTGATTCATTGGTGTTAGGGGTTCATCCTATAAAATGGCACTGCCCGGCTCACAAGAGACAGTCAGTCCCTCTGGGACCAGCAAAATATGATATAATTCATGCATGAACAGTAGAGGGCGCTTTCAAAAGTGTTTAAAATGTAATCCTTTCCTTTTTATTCTCCACAGAACTTATTCATTGCCCTTCACCAAGTAAGTCCAAACAGGAAACAAAAATAATCTCCCAAAATTGGTTGTCGCACACAATTTTAGCACCAATGCAATGTGCCTGCAAGTCAAATATTGACATAAAATTTTGCCAGTTTTTCAGGCTGACTTGCCAGCTCTATGGACAAATGAAAAGAAAATACAAGACTTTAAAGGTGCGGTCGAGAAGCTCACCAGGATCGACTCGAGTAAAGGCAGACGGGTTAGCCACGACAGCCGGGCTAATCGAATGCTAAACCACGGGCCATCACGATCCTCACGTGATGTCCATAGCCGCAGATGTAGCCACTGACAAAACGCCCGTTTCGGACTGGGTCTTAGTTTGAGATTTACTACTTTTTAGTCAACTGCAAAACTCAAAAACGTTGGGCTGGAATTATAGCCCCTAAAGTTGCAATGAACTCAATGAATAATTACCTTTAGACTTTGAAAGTTGATTTTGGGTCTACTAAGATTTCCGCTGTCCGTCCGCCATATTTAGAATGAACAATGCATGCGTGCGACGTATTTCGACCACTGACTCTACTCAACGAGCAGGGTCTGTGGTGGCTGACCCGGGTGGGCCCCGAGAATGACGTCAGAGTTAATCGAACGGCACGGGGCTAACCCGAGTCGATCCGGTTGAGCTACTTGATCGCACCCCAAGTAAACTTACCCGGCTACCGCCAATGTATCCACCACAGGCACCGAAGCTCTTGGTGAATGTTCCCATGAGGATGTCTACTTCCTTGGGGTCGATGCCGTAGAAATCCAAGACTCCCCTACCCCTTGGGCCAAGGGCCCCTATGCTGTGGGCCTCGTCAAGATACAGGTAGAACTTGTATTTCTTCTTGAGGGCTATCATTTCAGGCAGTCTGACGATGGACCCTTCCATACTGCGTACAAAAAAAGAAATTGGGAAATCAGAAATACAATACTGGGTTTTGCCTTAAAGGTAGGAAATCATCATTCAGACATAAGACTACCAGTGCTGGTAGACCATTTGTAAGTTGTGATTTTTTTTTCATTTGAAGCAACAGAAGTGCTCAATATCTTAAGACGAGTGCTTAACAATTAACCTGATGAAGTTTTAGCTCTGTGAATGCTGTATATTTGGAAAAACAGAACAAATGAATACACAATATTCTGGATCTCGATTTGAATTCCAAAGTTGCCGAGACATATTTTTGAATTGCGCCCTCTCTTGACACAAACCTGAAATCAGCATCAGGGACACGATTCTCAACTCGGTTGGCTTGCACCCATTCACAGATTCACCCAATTACAAACCGACCACAAATTAGAACACATGGGGGCGGTATTCATGGACATTTCCAAAAATGTGTCATTTGACACATCTAAATGGATTCTAAATTTAGAACGTTGTTAAGTTTATACCTGTAGATTCCTTCCACAACGATTAGAATCTTCTTCCAGGGCTTGTGCGTTCTTGGTTGACCCGATGAAATCGCATCTCTTAATACCCTCTCTAGATCAACTGTGTCTGCAATACAAAAAAAGGAAAAGATTCCATTTTACCTTGTTAGGGATTAGATTGTGAAATTTCAATGATTGAGAGTTGTTTATGTGACGTACCTCAGGAGCTTATGTGTGATTAGTTACTTAGACTCTCCGGGTACATCAATAATAAATTGTAATGCGAGGGACGCGACGGACAGGGCCAAGTGGAGGAGAGCCATAGGGAGAAAGCAGGCCAACCCAGAACAGACTGGACAGCAGCCTCAAAACCGACGATAATGATGATGCTGCTTATATGGCGCTTTCCATCGTATCAACAATCTCAAAGCGCTTTACAATTATTCCCCCTGTTCATCATGCCACGAGACCACACGGCAGGCGATATCAACATTCAGTCCTCTACCCTCACAGGTACCCATTTATACTCCTGGGTGGAGAGAGGCAATTGTAGTAAAGTGTCTTGCCCAAGAACACAAGCACCATGTTCCCCGTCAGGGTTCAAACCCATGTACCATGGCACATTGGGTAAACACCGTAACCACTGGACCACAGCGTTCCACAGAAGGCTGTAACAAAGTTGGCTACTGTGTTTTTGCTGTTTGTAGGAGTGGCTTCAGTACTAATCCCTGTGGGACATGCAGCCCCACAATGTCTACACCCGCATTGGAGATGACTTAAAGCTCTGGATGCAGCTGCTTGTTGAAATCAGGTAACAATTAAATAAACAGCTTAATGATAATACTTAAATAAGTCGCTTAAATAACACTTTCCACTAAAGCTAGGTTTCAAAGCTCTTCACCGTTATTACCCTGTGCATCAGGCCATGAGATCACTTTACTGCAGCCGAGATCAGCGCAATTTGGTCTCTACCCTCACAGGTACCCATTTATACTCCTGGGTCATGTGGGTGGAGAGAGGAAACTGTAGTAGAGTGTCTTGCCCAAGGACACAAGCACCATGTTCCTGGCAGGGTTCGAACTGACGCACCATCGTATATGAGTCAAACACTGTAACCACTGGACCATGGCAATCTACATCAACTCATGTCCTCTTTCTCATAGACCTCTGAATATTTTTGTCCTCACTGCTTTGTTCAACACAGCTCAAAAATTAGACCCTACGCACAAGGTACATTGTAGGTAATGCATACTAGGGTGTGTACGTGTCAACACGTACCTGCGCACCTGTAATGCAGACATGAATACCAACAACCGAAGTATTGGACTTCAGAATTTGCATGTGTACAAGGGTGTAAAAACTTCCTGACTTTTTATTCAATCCAAAAGAAACAAAAGCCGTATCCTCTCTGAGTGATCCCCGTTTGCCATTTCCCAGGTCTGCATCGTGACGTTGGGCGTGATCCCTGTCTGCATGGCATACAGGTTGACGACTTCTGACTAACGCCCCTTGAACACAGACATTGACAAATTGGGGAACCGCCAACATAAGGCTGGATAGCTCAGTTGGTAAGAGCACCGGAACGGTTATCCGGAGTTTGGAGATTCAAGCCCTGCTCTAGTCAATTTCTTTGTTCAACTTGTCAATTGTTATAATTCATCTAGTCAGTCTCCCTTTGTGGTTCATTTGAAAAATGACTGATGTCTTTAGTTACATTATTAGTACTTCAAAAAGCCTCGTAACAGTCATCAAAATTAATACAGTCTTTTGTGATATACTCAAAGGGTTTTTACACTCTCTAGGGGGTACCTGGCACCGTCAGCTTCACCTGAGGTGCCATGGAATATATCACAACAGACAATGATTTCTTTGGAACCATGGAGCTAGCAATCCACTCACAGCATCACTGTGAAGTCAAAGAGGCTTCCAGAACCGACAAAAGCATTGTGCTAGCTAGTAATTCAGAATAATCGTCACGCAGCAGTTGCTTTGCATAATAGCCGGCGTAGCGTTCCTGCTACCCCTGGGGATTTGTGAGTTTACAATACCATATACAAATATACACGTACCAATTCGTCTATTACTATCAAATAGCCTCGTAACTTTTCGTGTCAACACAAAAGCAATATTGGTCTGCCAAATGGAGGTCCATGCGTGACTTCAGAATGATGAATTTTTATGAATGAGACATACCGTTGTGTTCAAAGACCTTGACTGACGCCCCAGACAGCCGGATACCCAGTACCAACGAAGAGTGGTTCAGCTTGTCGCTTATGACCAGACAACCCTGTCGGGAGAGATCAGACATAGTAGTAACATTAACTGCTAGGAAGCAGACAACAAAGACTTGTACGGCACGTACAACTGTCTAGTCTACAGGGCGCTCATTGGCACACTCTAAAATGTCCCACTCTTGCAATCATAAAAGTGTAATCAGTTCAATAGTTAGTGGAGCATTTCATTCTCTATAGGTGTACTGGAACTACCTTATTTTGTTTTATACTGCTTCCGAAAAAAATGTTGCTCAGGAAATTTACTATGGAAGGACATACATGTAAGCTACCGGTAGGAACTGGGCCCAATTTCACGGCGCTGCTAAGCATACGATTTTCTGCTTACAGAGCCTCTGTCTATTTCATGGAGACCGTAAGCATAAGCACAGCAAAAGGCACGCTTACTTCAGAGGAAAAGTTTGCTTTAAAACCTAGTGATCTAACATTAGAAATCTCCATGCACACGCATCTGTTAGCACATCCACGCCGTGAAATAGTGCTTAAGGTTAGCAAATTTTTCTGCGATGTTAAGCACAACTTTTCTGCAAACTGCAAAGCAGCGCCGTGCAATTTGGCCTTGGTTGCAATCGTTGAGAATTGGAAGGCATCTTGCGTATTTAAACTGCTTTTTCAAGCTTAGACACTTTAATGCTGAGTATTTGCGTGTGGCTAGCGATTGAGAATGTCTCCTGTTTTACCGATTATTCAAAGGCACAATTTCATACTGTCTAATTCAAACTTACCTTTAGACATTGAAATTCTAATTGAGACTTTCTAAGTATCAGCTTACGATAGGAATGATAACAAAATAGGTATGCAGACAATGAAAAAAAGTGTGTGATTTGTTTGGACAAGGAAAGTGAATCCTATGCTGGGCTCAATTTCATATCGCTGCTAAGCAGTAAGCAGACAAATTTTGCTAACTAAAGCAGACGATTTTGTTAACCTTATGGAGTGGATACATGCAAATGGTTGCACGGGCATGGAGATTTCTCCTGTTACGTCACTAATTTAAGCACCTTTTTCCCTTTGTGTGCCTACTGCTTACAGTCTCCATGAAATAGACGGAGGCTCTGTTAGCAGAAAATTGTGCTTAGCATCGCCAAGCACCTCAGCATAAACGTTCTGAAGCAATGCTAACTGGGACTTTTTTAAACAATTTTGTTTTTTTAATCTCTCATTCAGTGTATTTGCTCTTTTCACACTTCCGCCATGGGCATGCAGTGCCTCGATCTGGCAACTTTACACAAAAAATACAGCCGGTTCAGTGATTCCCGAGTCGGGGTTCGTATCGCTGAAGCGGCCATTTTTATTGTGTAAAGTTGCCAGGTCTAGGCTGTGCATGTCCAATGGCGGAGCGTGAAAAGAGCGAATTAAAATGGAGTTTAATTCCACCTCATTAAGGCAATAATGACATAGTGAAAGAGTTAATTAAGTAATTAACAATGCAGCGCTAGACCAAGCATTGACCTTGAAGAGGCCAACACTTGTTCAGGCAATAATGCTTTGTTAAGCTTGTTAAGGCAATAATGACATGCGCTTGTTAAGGCAATAATGACATGAGTGCAATTAACAATGCAGCGCTAGACCAAGCGTTGGCCTTGAACATGTTGAAGAGGCCAGTCCACAACGACACAGTTGGTTTCCTGCATATTGTACAGCAGTTAACAGACTCTACACTTGGAAACCTTGTAAATAATAATGGCTTGTCAGTATTCCCAAAAAAAATCTCTGGAATTGCATGAACTCAACAAAAGGTAAAAACTGATAAGTCGGCAAGTTCTTATATGAGCTAAATGGCAATGTCTATCAGTATAAACAGATGTTGACTTTTCCCATGATGAAAACGGCTTCCAGGGCCCAATTTCATGGCCCTGCTATATAACCACAGAATTCTGCCCTCACGATCATCATTCTGTGCTATCAAGGCCAGCAGAAAATTCTGTGCTAACCCAGTAAGCACAGAATCCTTAGGCCATGTCCGAAAGTTGTGGCTGTGGCTGCGGCTGGAAATTACACAAGCGCCTATTGAAGTCATTGGCTTGTGGCTACGGCCACTTCCTATAGATGAGTGTGTTACTCCCGGCCGCAGCCAGTTGATTCGTACACAGCCTTAGTTACGGGATGTATTCACTAACCCATGAAATATGCTTACCGTAAGCACAGAATTTCCTGTCACAGCAAGAGCAGATTTTCGCTAACAGTAAATAGCAGACCAATCAAATTGGGCCCAGGTACTAAACGCTTGGTGATGCACTGCGACATGCCATATTTTGAGCAAGTGAGGGCGGTATAAAGACAACTTTTTCTGGCTGCAAACAGCGGAACTGGTTTGTTTATTGCAGCAATTTCATAACTTTACTTCAATCTGAAACTTAAAATGTTTATGCCCTTAAATTGACATACTGCGAATCACCTAGTTGACATTACCTCAGTAACCAAGGCGGGAATATTCAAGGCATTGGTGGCGAAGCCCATGCTGAAAGTCATAGCGTCCTCCGTGCCCAGAAAGCGAGCCGTTAGCCTCTCTAACTCTTCACTTTTATCTGTATTGCCTACAAATGAAAAACAAAAAGACAAAAAAAAGGCAGATCAGAGTCTCGATCTTAATCTGAATTTCTGGGTGGCAAAGCATCTGTACTGAAACAAATCAACTTTTGAGATGATTTCTGGCACTTGTGCAAACCCTTTCCACGACAAGTACACTGTTTTTTTTTTATATCAACATTGTTTTTAGCATACAAAACCTCCAGCTTACCCTATAAAGGTTGGGAGGGAACTAATTATCATCAGGGTGCAAGTTTTGTTCTTACAAAAGCCATTCTGAGTTTGACGCCAAATTTCAAAAAAGAAATGGGAGGTAGCGTTCGTGCAAAATGCCAATTTCTCATTTTATTATTTTTATTTTCCATTGAATGTGTACTGGAAAATTCACTCATCCAAAGACTAAAATGTGGATCGGAATATCGACATTATTGAGGACCATATTTACAAAGTGCTTTGTCTGATCCCACTAAAACTTTGGATATAAACTGACAATGAATATTTGAACTAGCTTTCCAAATGTCATGAACAATTTGTTATTGTATTTCTGACATGGGGGGGGGGGTGCTCTTTAAGCATTAATGTCTCGTTTGTGGGCATAATCCACTCAATATCATTAGGCACACAAATCCAAATGATAAATTGAAACATTTATTTCCTCTTCCTGGCAAAGTGAAAGTAAACTAATAAAAGGTACATTAAAGGGATAATAACAAAGTCCAACAGCGGTGGCAAGCTTGTGTGTGGCTTGACGAATTACAATGGACAGACAAATAAATATCTCGTATGTATACATTGTACAGGGACAAAAGAGCCATTTACAATTCCATGCACTCAAAGTTATGAATAAGAAGACTACAAATACCGGTAATTCAAGTACCAGCTGCAGTAAAAAAATGGTCTTTCACCACTTCCTCTTCAACTGAGCTACCCGAGAAAAGAGTAGCTCAGTATTTCAAGGAAAAATGTAGTATTGTTTAGGGGCTACAAAAGAATTTTTGAACCCATGGTTACAATAATACTACCAAAAATTCATCTGTACAGTGGTCAAAGAGATTAAATAACTGAAGAGTCTCGCATGAGGGATGACTGAGCTTAATAAATGGACCTCATTTATATTCAACCTGTCCAAAAGGTCATAATCTGCAGATTTCTCACTGTTTTTTTGCTATTGTACCGTACTGTCGATTTATCAAGCACTTTTTTCCACTGCGCACAAAAGATGTCACACAAAGGGATTGAAAACGCATTGGCATTACTTTTTATTATGGAAGTGACCCCTACCAAGGCTACAGATGCCAAATGTTGTCAGAAGAAACAGGGAAGCAATGTTTCACCTTACAGCATTCGGTTCAAATTCCATCACGTTAAATGTAATATACATTTGCAAACATCAATTTATCAAGCTCTTTTTTCCACTGTGCACAATAGATGTCACACAAAGGGATTGAAAACGCATTGGCATTACTTTTTATTATGGAAGTGACCCCTAACAAGGCTACGTGTATGCCAAATATTGTCAGAGGAAACAGGAAAACAGGGAAGCAATGTTTCACCGTACAGCATTCGGTTCAACTCCATCATGTTAAATGTAACATACAACATTTGCAAACATCCAAAAACAAAACTACCAAATTATTATGAAATACCTTAGAATTCACTTACATACATACATACATGTACTTGACTGTAAGTGAATAATTGTCTTAAGCATCCTGTAAAAACATGGCACCTGTTGTACTGTCATTTTCAAGAAAAGTGAAATTTTTCTATCAATTTCCAACGATGGTCAGCCGATCATCGTTGGCAAGTAAAAAAAAAAAAAATCCCTCCAAATATTGCCCCCAATTTACCAAATTTAGTTAGTCCACAATCTGTTTGCAATCAGCTACACATCCGTGAACGGGTGCAAACCAGCAAATTTACAAATTACATTTTATGCACAAAATCCCGTTTTACTTTGTGCTTCAAACATGTAAAGTGCAGTGCCCTTCTAGAAATTTGCATGTAATGCGAACATGTTAAAATCATACATGGGGCATGCAACCAGGAAGCAAAAAAAAAAAAAACCAAAAAACTCCAAGCTTTACACTTGAGACTTTAATTAAACAGCATTTTTCAATGTTTAACCCTCCTGCTGTCTGAACAGTCACAGACAGTTAAAAAAAAATCACAAAATGTACACAAAATTGTGCACACAATGGAAAGGAAAAACGTGTGCGTAACTTAAAGCGCACTTTTGATAGAACATTATTTTGTGGGCAAATCCAGCATATTTTGTACTAAAGAGAGTTTGACTTAACATACCTAATTCTTGCCTAGAGCTGCACACACCGTTGCCATAGAACGTCGTGACTTTTTCCACCATATCATGACGAGGACCCGACGTCTCGGCAAATCCTAGATAGTTGTAGGAACCCAAGTTGATCGTTTTTAAAACTCGCCCTGTCAGGCTATTGAAAAGAAAAACAGTGAACTTTTAAAACCAAAATGCATGAATAGTACGCAAATCAGAAATTGGAAAATCAAACAACATAGGTGGAGGGTACCGAATACAATGGCAGTGCTGCAGCCGAATTAACGAAAAAGTGCGCAGCTTGCGCCATGCGTAAGACTTATGCAACAAATTTGTTGCGCAGCTGCGCAATAAACTTACAATCGGCGTAGGTGCGCAACATTTATTAATAATTTAACATCTTGGACGAGGGTAAAAACAGCATTTACGACGGCTGTTCGCGTGTGAATTTGTTCGTCTGCGAAACAGTCGTTGGATCACCTCAGCCCTCCATTTTGAAAATTATTTTGTCCGACTTTCCTCGGAATCGTTTGGCAACTCTAAAAATTATGTTACGAGTAAAATGGGAATTCATTTACTTAAAACATAAAGTTGTGAGTGTCTTGTATCAACCTTGATAAGTTGTGCAATAACGGGCTCCACAACAGTCCCCATTTGCTGGTAAAATATGTAATTTTCGGTCGCTGTGCCACAACTTACGCCACCTAAAATGATTGCACAAGTTACGCCATAATTTATGGCACAAGTCGCGGACTTACGCACTATCCCACTTTCGTGAAATGTGTCATAAGTGAAATGTTGGCAGCGTGAAATGTTGCACAACTTAGGCAATAAATTTTGGCGCAAGCAGAGTTGCGCCATTGCACAAGGTTTCGTGCAATCGGCTGCTGTAGTCTAGTCCATCACAAGTCCAGTCACAAGTACGGTAACATCACAAGTCTTTTCAAAATTCCAGTCGAAAGTGACAGTTGATTAAAAACAAGGAAATGCTTTTGTAACAGTTCATTTATAACTTGTGACTTGACTTGAGACTGCAGGACCTGTGATTTGCATTCACAAATCGATACTATGACTTTTTTTTTTTACATCAGTTTGTATGCGGAAAATTAACATCAGGGACATGTGTATTTTCAAATACTGAGTTCTACCGTTCTGCGAGCTTGCACTTTTTGTTCTCTCAAGCCCCAGCTCAGACAACAATGAGTATACATTGCTTCAAAACATTACATTCGCAAAGGGCAAACCCAATATTAGACTTGCATTACTTTACCACATAAAAACAAAGGATACCTCAGATGAATGCCCAAGTAGCTTGTGAATCTTTTCTTGCAAGACCCTGGACAACACTGGGTATACAGTGTTTTATATAAATATGTTGGTGAAGGGCACAACCCAATATTGAATTTATATACCGTACATATCTCTGACGCAAATTCCGTCATATAAGTGCAACACAAATTAAATGTTAAGAAATGCTCAGAGCAAAGTTGAAACATGTTCAACGGTTGTGATGATACATTTACAGCCCAATTACGCTGTGGCATCACACCTTTGCATTTGTTTAATTCGCACCGAGTATGGAAATACCGGTACACCATCCCTCAATGCACAGTCGGAACCATCAAACGCACCTATCAGTTGTAAGACTGACCCCATGGCAACCGGGAGAGGTGAATCATCATCCAATCCCGAGTCATCCTTTTGTGGAATCTACACACCCCGTGCGTCAGAGTAGTGATGACCTTAAGTATACTTTTGACACTCATTGAGTAACACGTTTTGACCCAGCTTTTGCAGACGGGTCATTTCATAAATTTAGGGTCCAAAGAGTGGCATTCTTCCTGTTCCTATTACCTTTGTACATTACATGTACTTTGTCATTTGCCATTCAAGTATCATTAAAGCCTAGTTTCCATATCGACGTTGACCTACGCAGACAGTACGCATAACAGTCGGCAAAGTTGAACCCGGTTCAACTTTGCCGGTTGTCTACGAGATAGTTTGCATCTGTCTAGGTTGTCGGCCACATTTGCGGATAACATGTTTCCATACATGCACCGTGTGTCTGCGTTGCAGTTTGGGTCTTGTTTGTGTTGCTCTCTGCGTTTCTTACCTCGATACAGAAACTAGGTTTTAGAGCGACCTATTGGGTTAAGAATGACTTTGTTGGGTTGGTATCGGTAGTTGTACTTTCATAATCACTCTTGAGTCTTATCTTGGAAGACGACTGCATCTAGCAGTGCATCAGAATGATAAAATCATCTCAGATGCAACAGGGACAGGTATTTAAGTGGACCCCAAATTTATAGAATGACCTGAATTGTTAAGCACCTACTGAAGAAAAGCGACGCACCTATCACACAACCCTTTCAAATTTGAACCTTTTCAAATCTATTTAACACACCAAATCAGGACATGGTACAATGCACTCTCCTTTGACACAATCAGAGTTCCTGGGGTACGTCTCAAAAAATAATTGTTACTGGCTAAACAGTCATCTTACATGTAAGTCCAGTTCCAGTCCGGTGACAGCCTTTCCATGACGTCCATTTGTGCCCCCGGAACACCGCAGATGGGCTGTTCAAATAGGTCTTTCAGTTTCCGATATATATTCCGAATGTAAAAGCTATCGAAGTCTTGAAAGAGTGGAACAAAGTCCTGTGTGGGGAATTTAAAAATATGAAATAAGAGAAGATTCAAATTTCTGTCACTTTAAAGGGAATATACAACATTTGCAAACATCGAAAAATAATACTACCAAGTTTTAACGAAATACCTTACTAGGATGTTGGTAAATGACAGTCTAAAGCATCCTGTAAAATTATGGTACCTGGTGTCGAGAAAATGGTATTTTTGTATACATTTCCAACGGTGGTCGGCCGACCACCGTTGGAAAAACCTAACTATTTTTCAACTACTGCTCCAAATTTACAATTTTTTTCAGTCCAAATTTTGTTTGCCATTGGTTACATGTTCATGAACGGGTGCAGGCCAGCTAGACTGGTTCCCTTACCTTACAATTTTCCGACATCTATAAATTGATCCATTTATCTTTAGTGGTGTCAGGGAACCACACTACTTAAACAGTTTTGTTTTTCTTGGTTTTTTTTTAAGCATTTTCGAACACAAAACTTCAAACATGTCAGTTAAACAATATTTGATATATTACACTAACCCCTCAAATAGTTCATTTCTGAAAATTACAGCAAACGCCAATGATGTACATTCCCTTTAAGCAGATAGTTGTTTTACTGAACCAACTGCCCGGATTGTTACTCCCTACATCGCCCCAAACGTCCCAGCGATGTGTGGTTGTATGGATTCATACAATGTACATGTAGTACAGGGGCTAATACATGTACATGTAGGTTAATACACATTGCATCACGCTCAAAAATAGTGTTGCACAATACATCTTTGAACTTAGGCATACAGGATCATTTGCTTATCATGTCTCTTATTCGTTTCTAATCATAACACCACTCAAAATCCAAAGACGAATGTTCAAAATCTAACCTGCTGAACTTCCAGCTCAGTTTATACAAGATTCCCCTTTTGATAAAACAGTGAAAAACCACGCACAACAACAGCAATTTTGTCATATTAACTCTATTAAAACCCTAACAGAACTCAACCCATCAAACCCCAACAGCATGATTTGTTGGAATCTGTCCGGGATGGGTACAGTTCCCCTAAACTGACAGTCTTTTACATTGGGTTGGCACACCTCCAGAAACTAAGTCAGAAATATGTGTGTGCAGTTTCCCATACGGTGTTGGAATTTGCCAGGATGGGTATGGTTCCTAGTAAATCATGCTAGGGAGTTAGGGTTAAAAAAATCAGTCAATTGACTGATCGTTGGAAATCACCTACATTGCTTGATTTCTTCTAAATGACTGCAAGCCAGACGGAAGAATTTCACAAAGTGTTTAGTACCAGCACAATCTTTAATCCAAAGAAGCTTTCTGATAATAATGTGGTAGGTTACTTTTGGTATAAATGCAAAATAACCCTATATGCTCTAACGACAACAACTCCTCTCCGGGTGCACACCATCAAAACGCTGTAAATTACTGCGTGCGAGCTCATTAATATTTTGTGATCCCACGGATACTTTTGAATAAGAGGTCCTTGCGGCCTATAACTGGGACTGATTGTAGAAATATTTATGGAAATCAACAATTTGTGACTTAATGCCTCAAACTCAGACGATTTTGTTTGAAAAAAAACAACCAACTTGTGGATCTATTTCGCATAGAGTTGGGGGGGGGGTTTACATGTACATTAAGACCTGTGCCCAGGCATTGGACCTGTTTTAGGGGTGATTTTGGGCGAGGGTAATATACATGTACATATGTACGTATATGTAAAAAAAAAAAAATTGAAGTGGCTACCTCTGGTAAAATTGAACAGAAAACTGTCCTACGAAGTCTTTAATTTCCAGTGAAAAAAACATTGCCACCTGGCTCCCGAGTGTCACAAGGCGGCGCTCTTTGTATCCAATGTTGCGTTGTTTCCTATGAGCACGTTATTTGGTGTAGTGGAACCCTCCATGGTCTTACCTTCAATTTGCGAGACTCACAAGCCCCGGGTGACTTGAGGATATGAAACTTCCACAGGTATTCCTTGACGTATCCGCAGACGGTCAGGATTAAATAGTTGAATATGGTGATGATGACCTTCAAGATGGGTACTTTCTCATGGGGGCCCTGCTCAGACAATGGCTTGGTTTCCTGTCAAATTAGAAAAGGGAACAGCAAATTTAGGGCACTTGATTTTCAGTTTCAAAAAATGTCTATGTTTTGTGTCTCAGGAAATAGTATACAAATATTGAATGCTTCGAGTGGTGTAGTAAAACTAGCCTCCCGAGGTGATCCATGGACCATTCTTTTTTCCCGAGGCGAAGCCGAGGGAAAATAGAATGATCCATGGATCACCGAGGGAAGCTAGTTTTACTTCACCACGAGATAAAGCATTCAATATTTGTTTTATAACACTTCACCCACAGATTCTGCTTGATTTTAATATTTTAAATTATTTAAATCTGAACACAGTTGAAATAAACTTCAATTTCAATACAAAATTGTTGGAAAATGTATTTCTCTCTTAAAAACTACCCCTTCACGAAATGTTTGAACCCAAGTCTGTGGCGCGCTCTCTTTGGAATAATACGCGCTACGCACAACGCGCACACCAGCATGCATTTGCACACAAATACCGCGCCGTGGAAATAGTACTTTGGTTGTTAATGGTATAGTACTTTGGTTGCTATGCGCATAGTACTTTTGGCCGTGCACAGAAAGATAGCAAAATTAGAAAGTAACATGTGACTCGCTCTCGGCCAATCAAGACACAGAATCTGTGGGTGAGGTGTTATAATTAACTCTGTTTAAACCACAAAAAATGTAAAAAATACAAAGCAGGAAAACCTGTTTCCCACTTGTATCATGTAGTGGATGTTCACTGAAGCAGCTTAACAAATTTTCCACCAAGCAATTTTGCTACAGAATTTAAATAAACCAGACGTCCCAAATACGTAGTACATCGGAACCGGTACTAATTAACCGCTGCTGTCTGGAACCGGTTCCAAATTATGGGATCGGGGAACCCGTAACCAACTTTACAAACTACAAACTACTCTGTAACTTCTCAATGAAACAAGAAAGGTTTTGAATGCCATTTGTGGGGAATTTTTAAAATGATAAACAGGCTACATGGAAAACCAAACCAGATTTCACATTTTTGTGCATTCCCTAACCCTGCCGAATCCAACAGGATCCAACTATGTCACATACCCGATGGAGCCTGTTGGATTGAGCCGTTAACCCCTTATGTACATTCCTCATGCAAAATGTTGGATTCAGCAGGCAACTGAACCGCTTTATAACGCCATGTTGGACTCCGTTAACCCCTTGTGTACATTCCTCATGCAAAATGTTGGATTCAGTAGGCAACTGAACTGCATTATAACGCCATGTTGGACTCCGTTGGATTCAGCAGACAACTGAAAATGAGGCACAACTGAAGATTGAGCAGGAAAGTCCGGTTGGACTCTGGTTGGTTGGGGGTGGGGGGGGGGGGCACTTGCCTCCCCAGATTTACCCAAGTGGCCCTCTTGTGGACATAAAAGTGCCCCCTCGAGCATAAATGTGCCCCGTTGAGATGAAAACAAAACTTGCCCTAAAATTTCAGATAATTTTATTCAGTAACCATTTCCTGAAATGGTATAGAGAGTTCTGATATGAACGAGGAATATGAAAACCAAGCCCCAAAACCCTAATATAGTGCGTAGTTTGCATAATGGCCAGTTTTGCCCCCCCCCCCCTCCAGTTTGAAAACCGTTCCGCCGCAGCTGTGTGCCAGCAGGTAAACAATTAATGTTCCTTTTATCACATAGGACATGTGAGCTCAATCAACTAAATGGAATTGGCCTTAATCACTGTCTCTGCTGCTACAATTTATCATACAGAAAACTTAATGGATTTGTGTCTGAATCCCCCAAAAAATAATTTACAAGTGGGCCATTTATTTTTTTATGGCTTCATAAACCTGAAAGGAGGATCTTAAAATTTTTTTTTTTAAAAATTCACATGTATAAAAATCTTATTCAATCATCAAAAACAGCAAGATACGCTGTGGCTATCGTTACGGCAGTCGACAGTCTGGTTCCCTGACCTGACAATATTCAACATCAGGATCTTAGGCTCTTGGAACCAGACTTTCAGCCAAATGGTTCTCGGATTTTGTGTCCCTTTTAAAAAATATTCTTGTGGCGTGGATTCGATCCCGGGACCTCCAGCATGGTAGTCCAATGTTTAACCAATCGAGCTACCGGTACCAGCATGACCAGAGCGCTCTGGTTGGAAGGGCAGAAAATGTGATATAGATATGAAATGGTGTTTTTTGCAATGCCGTAATGACAGCAGTTGAAATTGTGTTGCGGCTGCCGTAACAATAGCCACTACTGGTACATATTTCATATTGCTACAGGATACTGTACAGAAGAGGGTGAAATAAAGGCACAAAAATTGATCAGTCACAAGACACCTTTGGCAATCAATTTTGAGAGGTCACATTCCAATTGTCAATTCCGTCACTAACTTTGGTGTATAATTAGGTGACTTAACAGCGGTATCCATTTCTTGTTTCAAGCAATTTTACCTTTAGTACAGTGTATGACATACAATGTACATCATTGTTTCTTCACCATTTAGTCACATGCCAATTGTCAAATTCCGTCACTAACTTTGGTGTATAATTAGGTGACTAAACAGCGGTATCCATTTATTTTTTTTCAAGCAATTGTACCTTTAGTACAGTGTGTGACATACATGATTGTTTCTTCACCATTTAGTTAGACTTCCAGTAAATTTTCTGAATTCTCTTTTATTTCGAAGTGACTGTGAAGTGTTTGGGAAAATTGACACCTGTGACGTGATCCGTTAATTTAAGCAGGGAATTTTGTAGCAAGTTAAATAATTAATATTTCACAAGGAGATTAATAAATGTACGTGATATTGTTACAGTACCAGTACTTACACGTAGTTCACATACGTACATGTGTAATTTTTTTGTAAAATGTAACGTGAACTGTTATCTCTTTTTCAAACATAGAACAAAGGTACACGTACTGTACATGTACGAGGTTAACGAATATCCTTGCATAATCAGTGCAACCTTTGGACTATGGCCCACCATAGAGCTACATGTACATGTGGGACCTAGACTAAAAGCACTATGCTTGGTATTAAAGTCCTTAGACTGTCACACTTGTGACTCATTGCAAACAAATTATTCTGATAAACACTGCCCAAATTCCATCATGCATCGAGGTCACCGTGCAATGCCCCCAACCCTTCAAACTCCAACAGCACGTTTTGTTGGAATCTGTTGGAGTGGGTACTGCACTAGTCTAGCAGTTTGGGCATTTGAGTTGCCATATGGTGTTGGAGTTTGCAAGAGTGAGGAAGGATCCTAATAAATCACTGTAGGGGGTAATCCCTCCCTCTCTGGCTGGCAATTTCAACAAGGCCGGCCAAGCAGTCACAATAAATCAAGTGTTTTTAACAGTTGAGTGCTTCCTGCCTAAAAGCAGGATTGACTGGCTGTGAATGTTATAAAACTTGATATAGCTATGCTTTGACTGTAGGAGATTGATAAGCCAGCTGTGTCTATACCAGTCACCTGCTTTTGTCCGTAGATGGAATTTGACTGTCACAGTGCCTACATGAAATATGATCTGACTGTCAGTGACTAGCCTGTGTAAAAGGCATGGCAGGGGAACAGGATTGACTTTTTGACTGTCTGTGACTGATCAAACAAAAGGAGGGTAGGAAAATACACAACATTAACAACATTGTCACTGCCTCATGACAGAGTTGAAGTACTTGTACAATTTAGTCTTATTTTTGATTATTTGGATCTATATCATGTTAAAATTGCAAGGCTGGGATTTTTAAGATTCAAAGTTTAAAGTCTTTAAAAAAAGTTTATATTTAGAAAAATAGTGAAACTCTACCGAGATTCCTATAAGGCTTAGGTTTTTTCCTCAAAACAACTTTGACATTCTTGTGATCAGTGTCTTTTCCCCCAAAACCCTTAATTTGCATATGATTTGTTAGTGTGTTACATGTAAAATGAGCACAAATAAGCCCCTAAAACATGTACATATTAGGTCCATTAACACTAACTCCCTACGAAGTTTTACTAACTAGAAGACCATGTCCATCAAAATCCACCACTCACCCTGCTTCACATAATGCTTCAGGACCAAATCCATTGAAATCCACCACTGGTCCTGGTGGATTTTGATGGACTTGGTACACATGACTCGTCTGCCAAAATCCCCCAAAATGGAGTAGGGGACGGATTTTGATAGAGTTGGTAAGGTACAGGGTTAACAAATATATGCTTCCAATTTCATTAACTCTAACCGCCCTGAATCCTTCAAAATCCTCTTTGCCAAAGTGGAGGAATTTGGAGGATTCAGGTTACATGGCAAAAGTGCGTTACTGGTTTCGTGGGATGCACTTCAAGTCAAGATGTTGGGCTAGACCTTGCCTTGTTTTTGCTCAGCCATGCATAACTATAGGCCTGGATTATGCTTGAAATCCTCCCTACTGCTCCAGGATGTCACTGGCCAAGCCTCAACATATTGACAGTCACTGCCGCAGGATTTTGCAGGATTCAAGCAGTGGTCACCCCTCTACGGACCAAATTCAAGAAATAATGGAGGAATTTGCAGGATCGAGGCTACACGTGTATATATGCTACATGTATTGTTCCGTGAGGCCAATTGGAGGATTTTGCAGGATTGAGGCTATCGTACATCCTAGAAAAAAAGGCCTCAGAGGGAGTATAGGGTTAACAACTAAAATGTTTCATTTAAAAACGTGATGGGTGTGCATGTACAATGCACTATGGATTGCATCCTGTGCAGTGTTGTTCAACCATTTTTAATGCTCTTATACTCTCACCAAATACTTTTTTGTCAGATTTAAAAGTGCCCACATTATTATTTGTATTCTAGGGTATGAGTTCTAGACACTGGACTAATAAAAGAGAAATTTGAACAACTTGCTGGTATACAGTAAGGTTTATGCATAGAGCTAGTTCTACAGGGTAAGTCCGAATGATCTGGACCCAAATTAAAGAAAATATTAAACATATGTAGCATTTTTTCACAACAAGTGCAAATGAGATATGTTATAGGCTGGTATTTTGGGCATTTCAA